GGAAATAAAAAGTGTCAATAAATTGAATAAATTAACACATTTTTACTGATTCATATGTATTTACTGATTTTTATTTTGATGAAAAGAAAACAACAAAATTTATGAATGCTTATAATTATGATAAAAGGAATATGATGAGAAGAAGTTGAATTTAGAAATATTCAAAAGTTCAATTCGATTTCATTTCATAAGAATAGAATGAGAAATATTTTGTTGTCAACAATATAATTTAATATGATTTCTTTTTCTGTATAATAAGAGAAAATTATCAATTCAGATAAAAAAGAAATTAATTTTGAGTTCAAAGGTAAAAATTACTATACATTTGAACCTCAACATGTGAGGTTAAAGAAAGGATACTATTTATTTGAATTATGGGGTTGTTCAAGTACAGGTTATCAAGATTCAGACACATATCTACAGCCATCAAGAGGATCTTTTGTTTCTGGTTATATACTACTAAAAAAGACAAATGATTTCTATGTACACGTATGTTCGAAAGGTCAATATTATATGTACAAGAATTCATATGGAGGGGGAGGTCAGGGACAATTCGGGGGAGGCGGATCAAGTGATATCCGTCTTTTATCAGGAGAATATGATGATTTCGAATCTCTGAAAAGCAGAATCATCGTTGCATCAGGTGCAGGAGGTTCAGACTCTAAAGATCAAGGAGGTCCAGGAGGATCATTAAAAGGATACAACAGCACACAAAACAAAGGTAAAGGAGGAACACAAACATTTGGAGGCATCGGCATTGAAAATGGTAAATTTGGAAAAGGAGGTGGTGAAAACAGAACAATTGGACTAGAACAATATCACCTCGGAACATCAGGAGGTGGTTCAGGATACTTTGGTGGTGGAACATCAGATGATTATGGTTCAGGTGGTGGAAGTTGTTACATCAGTGGACATGAAGGTTGTGTTTCTGTCATCAAAGAATCAAAAATGGATAATATATCTTTCAAAACACAAGGAGATATCAGTATCCACTATTCAGGATTTAAATTCGAAAGAACAGTTATTGATGATGGAAAACATGAAATGAAATCTCCAAATGGTACATTCGAAATCGGACATCTTGGAAATGGATTTGTTCGAATTACAACAATATTTGACATATCAGAAATTTCTTGTAATTTTATTCCTTACTATTCTATAATGCATTATTTTGTATTTCATATATTTTTATCATCTTTAATCTATTGATTATAATGATAAATATTCTATTTTAATGGTAATAATCAACATTCAAGATATAAATGAATGATGAGTAAATTTTGAAATTTTACCATCAATTAATGTTGGAATATCATTATCTCTATCAAAGGATTAAATTTAATTTTAAGTATATATGGTTTTGTTATCTCTAATTTTAGCAGTTCTTTTTGATCTGTTTGTGATTTCCTGTTTTCGGCAAAATATACAATAATAAAAATGATTGGCTATTGTTTTTGAGAAAATATCAATGCAATAAAGTTTATCAAGATATACATCATTGTTGGAAAAATTAAAATTAAATTCATTCTTTCTAATTAAACTCGATATATTTCTCATGGTTTGTTAAAGTGTGTTTAGAAGATGCTGCTTTGTACTTGCATTTAAAAACTTCTCCTCTTTTATTAGAATTCGTTTGAGACCCTTGCGCAGAGAAGATTATCATTATGACTACAATCGTATTCTAATTGAGTTTGAAGTGTAAAATATGAATGAAATCATCGATACTTGTAATCCTTTAAAAAAAAATGCCAACATAAAATTTTCCAAAAAATACCAAAAAGTGACATAAAATGTTTTGATTGTCAATTTCAAAGGATTTAATCACTTGATAAAGATAATGACATTGTAATTTTAATTATACAATCTTTATACTTAAATAATATTATGCTCTTATTAAAAGAAAACTATTTTTTGTGTGATAAACGAAATTTCGGACTTAATTCTTTCGAATATTTTTATGAATTATATGAAAATGAGACACTTATTGATACTATTCTTGGATTCTGGTCCAAGTCTTGATACTTGGACACATTTTTATGACAATTCAAATATCACTGAAAATCACACTGAAAATACAAAATTAAATCCAACGGAAGTCGGAAATTATTATGTTACAACATGTTTATTCAATGGAATTAATGATATTGTTGTCAATATATCCAAAGGAGATCAAACAAAACTTCTTATTTCTATTTCTGGATTCAATGGCACAAAAACTCCATCTAACACAGTTTTTTCTTTATTTGGAAGTTGTGTTATCTATCGAACATGTGCCACAAAATCTATACAAACATCATCAAATGAAGGGGTATTTTTATGTTCATATATATTACCATCAAATACAAACAACAAAAACATTTTTGAAGATTCAACAGTCTTTGATTGTGGAGACTCAATAGATAAAGGAAATTCAATTAATAATTTATATTACGGAAATCTTAGTTATTCACGAAATAACATAACAAACAACAAATGTTATGATGATGTTTCACTTCAAATTTGTTCATGGCAGAAATGCAAAATCAGTCAATCATCTTTCATTGATAACAAAGCATACTCTGAATGCTTTTGTTTTGGTTCTAGAGGTCTACATCATTTTTATTTATGTAATATCATTAGAAACAATGCTAGTCAATGTTTTTCTTTATATGATGCAAAAGTTAAATTTGACTCTTGTTCAATCAAATATAATAATTGTCCACAACCATTTAATTTATCTGGTTCATGTTCAGCTACAATCATCAATAGTGATTATGATGGACAAACAACTGATAATGTAGAAGTACAAAATTCAAAAAACAATATCTACAACAAATTATCACATCTTTCTACAGGACTTTGTGAAGCAAAATTTAAAATTGAAAATAATTTGGAAAAAAAAAATGACATAAAAAAATTCAACCAAATGAAAAATTTTTTCACCTCCCAATATTTAATCCACTACCAACGTAATAATCTTCTTGATATTTCTCACATTTCATCATATTCAATTTTATCACTGATTAAAAAATAATTTTCCAAATTTAATAATATCCAATTTTTAAACATTCAATGGACTCTTCACCTGCATTTGCTCTTGTTCTGAAAACAAAATAAATGAAAACAGATCATAACATTGAAGATTATGATTCGTATTGGATTTCTAATAAGGATTATTCACAATATGATTCAGATTCGCAATATTTCAATTTTTAGAAGATTCAATTTCAAATGTTTTATAATAAAACAGAAGAAAAGTAAAAACTTCGACATTGATATTGAAAGCTGTCTTAGATCAGTTAGCGATGTGGAATCTACTGACCAATTATAAGAATTACAAAAAATGATTAAGTTATTCAACCTGGCCGTAACAGTTTGCTTCCTTTAGGAATACAATCATTCATTCATTCACTTTTTGTTCTTGATGAACAAAACAATTTGTTCTCAGTTTATAATTTTTGTGAAGATATCGAACTTCGAAAATATTTATATGAACTTTCATTAAAATTCAAAGAAGGCTTGATCAAAGAAGAAGACTTTGTTCGTGAGACATATTTATCATTTCGACTTGCATATCATATCATTGTTGTCAAATCTACTAAATATCTTTCAATCATCTCATGCAAAGCTCATGTGAACATTATGAGGTCAGTTGAAGTTCTTTTCCATGCAGTTATGTCAGTTTTGATCACACACAACCACAGTAAGTTAATTCATGTTAAATCAACAATCGAATATGAAGATATTATGTATGTTCAAAATCTTTCAGCAAATTTAGCAACAATTGAACGAAATTCACAAGGAAACATCAAGATTTATGGCAATTTGTTTGGAAACCGATGCAGTAATGAAGTTGAGAAAGATTTATTTGAATCAATTGATAAATATCAAATCAACAAAAACATAAATGAAATCTCAGAATTCATTCTTCCATTTTGGATTTCAAATTATGAATGTCACTTTTTACTTATAATTGGTCGATATGTTTTATCTAAAATCACAGGTCGAACTATATATATTGGATTTATTAGTGATGTTTCCGATATATTAAATTATGACAAAGAACTGTTAATTCATCATTTATCCGCATCAATGATGAATTTTCAACGAGTTCAAGGCATTGATTATCATTTAGAACTTCGTGAATTTAGTATTGGAATTTTTCATGAATTACCACCTAATTCATTCATTACATTGACGAAAATCTCAGACATGAAAAAGATCGAAGTTTTTTGTAAAGAACCACAATATTTAGTTCGTTTAATCAAAGAAGATTCATCACCTGTTCTTGCACAGACTGTTCCTATTGGAGATTCAGGTGATTTCTTCTTTTATCCTATCAAACATTTATCAAAGACACTTGAATACCACAAAATCACATCATTTAGTGATTGTAATGTCGACAAGAACGAAGTTCGTGTTAGTTTTATGGATTTGATTACAGACGCATTTTTAGATTTCGGAATTCAATCATCAGATAAACCGAAGAAAGAATTTCATTTCCCACCAGAATTATCACATTGCAAGCGATGTTCAAATCATTTATATAACATCGCATCATGTATTTATTCATCATCTTTATCACAATTTTATATCAAAGTTGAAGAATGTTTTAATTTTGGAAGTTCATCATTAATTTGTTATTTACAAGAGAACGACAAAATCCGGCCATTTTTGATCTCCATGACATTTAAGAATTCTATTTTTTGTGTTATCTTTACATCAGTTGAAAATGAAGTTTATTTGTCTAATAAAGTTATTTTAGTTCAAACAGCCATGGATGCATTTGAAACAACAGGTCGCATCTTCCCATATAAATACGAGTTCACAGAAACTCCAGACCGAGATTACACAACATCACCAAGTGGTTTTAGTCCAGTTTTGTTATCAGAAACTAGTTACAAAAACATTTATTTGCCCGAACACAGAGAATTGATGCGTAAACAGATCTCATCAGGTAAGGTTGAAATGTTTTCATTGTTAAATACGAGACATTGAAATGGTACTTGTCTAAAGGCTCCATGTATGGGGATGAGTTGCGTGGTGTCTGTGTTAATATTCCAGATTATTTAGTTAAATCTAAATATTCACCACAAAATATGATTCATTTTACAAATGTTTTCGAAGATAAATTCAAGAAACTCACATATGAAACAGGTGAAGATATTACAACATTCTATGAAGCCGTTAAAGATGTTCTTAAAGCATGGAGAATAGAAAACTAATAATGATTTAATTTTAATTTCAATTTTTATCTTTTTTCTATTTTAACATTTTATTTTTGTTTGATATATTTTATAAAACATATTATATATAGATAAAAGTATAAAGTTTTTATGTAGCTTATTAAGTGAATTCATAAGCATTCTATTAATATATATATATTTCAATTCCTCATTAAGAAAACAAAACATTATATTTGACCTAAAACATATACTAAACATTTTGATGATTTTAGTAAACCATATAAAGAACCATCAGATATAAAATCAGTGAAATTATCTTATACAAATTCCATTTCAATTGCTTCAACCAAAGAAATAGAAAAAATAAGTTTTGTTCGAATTCAATTTCAATTGCTTCAACAACAGAAAGCGTTTATATTACAGATATATAGCGATTATGAATCATATATTCTAGTTTTTCTATTAATGTATTGATTTCCAAAAGAAATTAAAAAATAGAGTTTCTAAAATGTTGAAAAAGAGAAAGGGAAAAATATTAAAAAAAATAAAAAAATTAAAAAAATTAAAAAAAATTAAAATAAAAAAGAGGCGGCGACAAATTTGCCCAGCCAGTAAAGTATTCAATTTTTTTTGCATTTTTTTAAAGCTTCTTAACTTAAATCATGGAATGTCTCAAAGACAAAAGTAGCATACAGCATGTAAAGCTAAAGAAAGATAATCATAATTAATACCTTAATTTTTAATATTACGCATTTTTAGGTGCAAAATTTAAAAACATTCTAATACAATAGAGCAGTTTCCAAAAGTAGCATACAGCATGTAAAGCTAAAGAAAGATAATCATAATTAATACTTTAATTTTTAATATTACGCATTTTTAGGTGCAAAATTTAAAAACATTCTAATACAATAGAGCAGTTTCCAAAAGTAGCATACAGCATGCAAAGCTAAAGAAAGATAATCATAATTAATACCTTTAAAGTTTAAAATCTTGATTTTTTTTAAAATCAAATATTTATAACTTTAATACATACAGCTTAAACCTTATACTTGTTTTCTCTTGTGAGAAAGCAATCTTACAAAGCTAACAATCCTAAAAAATAAAGAATTAAAATTTCATACAATCTTTTTTCGAAACTGTTCTTTTCTTAAGCCGCGAGCGAAGCGAGTGGCTTAGTTTCGTAATTTCATACAATCTTTTTTCGAATCTGTTCTTTTCTTAAGCCACTCGCTTCGCTCGCGGCTTAGTTTCGTAATTTCATACAATCTTTTTTCGAAACTGTTCTTTTCTTAAGCCGCGAGCGAAGCGAGTGGCTTAGTTTCGTAATTTCATACAATCTTTTTTCGAATCTGTTCTTTTCTTAAGCCACTCGCTTCGCTCGCGGCTTAGTTTCGTAATTTCATACAATCTTTTTTCGAATTTGTTCTTTTTGTCTCCCGCGAGCGAAGCGAGTGGCTTTTTATTTTTTTTAAATTTTTTTCTTTCTTACTTTTTTCCCTTACTTACAAATTTGATAGTAACTTACCAAATCTCTCTATCATATAATAATAAATTAATCCATTTTTGTTTCAAATCTGACACTTTACATTTCTGACATGTAAACCCGTCACTTTTCAGTTCACCTCACTGGGCAAGTTTGTGCCCCCTTCAATAAAAAAGGTACGGACACTTTTTAACCTTAAATTCTAAAAAATCAAGGGCATTTGTTAGCTTCACAACTCGTAATACCCTTTGAATATCACCAAGATTTTAGAGCAAGCAAAGCATTAGCATACTCTTAAGAGAATGCAATGTTTGTTGCATGAACTAAACTTTGCAAAAAAGAACATATTTTGATTTTTTGCAACCTATCAATTTTCTCATCATTTGATCAGCCAAGATTACTAAAATTCGAAAACACTTATAACCCTATCGGAAAATCTCTACCATAAAAAATTAAATTTATAAAATATTTTTGAGACTGCGCTTTCTCTTTGAAAATCATGGGGATGAATCACATAGAAATATATAATAAGTACGTAGAAAATGAAAAAAATCCGTCTTGCCAATTTTTAGAAACGGATTGCATTTCATCAAAAATCGACATTACCCAATAGTTGACTGGTAAATTAGCTGTTATCATAATTAACGGCATACAGTTATCAAATAAATATTAGTGCAAACGCACAACCAGCAATTAAAATTCTGAATTTTTATTACTTGCAACTTGTTTTACTCCTACAAGAAGAAGATTACTTTTGAGTTACATAAAATTCAAGTAGTATCTTCGAAATAATTGTATTTAATAAATATAAATATTTTATGTTTATTTTTTCGGTAATCTATTTGTTTTTGGATTTTGACCACAAATAGTTCTTCTTTAGTTAAGAAATTGTTAGTTTTTTTAAAATTAAATTTTGCATTCAAGAAATATCGACGTTTTTCAGGAACATAAAGAAATATTTTGCATCAACATCAATTATAAAACACATTCATTTTTCCAAAAAAATCACAATTTGGGGATTTTGTAATAAAAATTGTATTTCTTCATTTTATTTTTCATTTTTTGAATTTTTTTTGGAATTTAAACTTAAAGCAAAGACAGATTTTTATATATGATTAGAGTATACTTGATGATTTGGTTATAATTTTATCTCTAAAAGTTATACATTCCTTTTAACAATGAGTATTTCGATTCAATATCATGTATTCAAAGCATTTTTGAGCCTACTTTACTTAAGAAATCAGATTCAACACATTAGCATATTACGATAGGATTGCTATAAAACGATAATATCAATTTTTTAAAGAAATATTTTCTGATCTCGTTTTTCAAGCATAAATTTAGGATTTATTATTAGTTATTCACCATATGTTATTGAATTCCTGGAGAAATAACTACTGATACTTCATTATTGTTAACAAATTGAAACAAAATTTCACAGAATCTTTTGAAGAATGATATATTTATGCATTACTCAAGCTACAAAAATGATGCAGAGCATTAGCATATGCATTATTAACTTATATAGGGTTGTTAGATTCCCGACGATAGGTGTCTTGGAAGATTTGCCTGGTGTCATCATAGTGTCTTTAAATCAAAAATTTTATTTTGGAGTTAGTTTTATTGATTTTTCTAGGGTTGTTAGATTCCCGACGATAGGTGTCTTGGAAGATTTGCCTGGTGTCATCATAGTGTCTTTAAATCAAAAATTTTATTTTGGAGTTAGTTTTATTGATTTTTCAATAAAAAACATTTCTAAAACAAGAAAATAAAACGATAAAATATTTATATTTTATATAAGGATCTTATATATTTAAAATAAATATCATTTTATTTTTTTCATTGGTGTCTGTCAAACCATAATACACTATTCAAAAATTCAATGTGTCTTGCGGTTTCAAAAGACACCTTCAAATTGAACGATAGCATAGACACTATTGAATTTTACCCATTGTATTTAGTTTTTACCCTTTTTATTTTTAAGAATTAATGACTGAAACAGCCGTTTTGCTATGACCTCAATCACTTTTATTAAGGGTTTCGTTTTGCGAAAAAAACGTACAATACGCAATTTCGCTAAAAAAACATTTAGCTAGCAATTTCGACCTTTGACTCCACTCAAGACGTCACTTTTTTAATTTTGCGGTATCATATTTTTGGAAAATCTTTATGAATATTATATAAAAAGTCTCTTTAATATCTATATTTCATATTTTTATCGATTTTTAAGGTTTTTGCGAAAAGTATTCAATTATTTTTGCTATTTGGTCGGGTAAATGTCAGATTTGCGACATTTTCTGATATGATATTCAGATTCTACGTTGATAATAATGCATATAGAACCCTCTTGCTATTGTGTCAAAATTGCGAAACCGATAGCAAAAATATCTCGCAATATCAAAATTGAGATATTGAGTGAATTATGCATTATAGAGATTAAAAATCTGATTTGTGAAAACATCTCATCAGTTTCTAGCTAATTCAAAAATCTTTACTATCTTATTCGATTAAAATGAAAAGGGAATAGTTTCATTATGCTTTAAATGACAGCCTTATAATATAATCATAGTTTTCGCTCAATATGCAGCATTTTTTTTTCGAAATCTATGGTCAATGTCCTAAATACTGATTGCTTTGCATTCATATCTCTTACATTTTCTATACCCACATCACTATTCATTGCTATTCCTATCTTTTTCATTTTTGTTTGTTTCTCATAATTTCTCAAAAAACACGATAACTTGATATTTGTAAATATCATACTTTATAACGTAAATAAGAACTTGACCTATTAAGAAAAAGCAGTAATGAAAAGAAAATCTGAAATTCATAAAAATTACAAGTTTCTGATGACAATTAGCTTAATTAAACCAGGTACAAGATTATATAATTGTATTTTCTATCCAATTATCCATATAATATCTTATCCAGAAAAAAATAACTTGATCAATACCAAATGATTTTTTAACTAGTAAATAAAGTATTTTCTTTACACACACATTGTATATCATAGTTTTTTTTTTTTTGGTTTCGCAAAACATCCAAAAACAAATATGCTATAAAAGTGACAATTTTAGCAAAACGAAACCCTTACTTTTATTTATTATTTTAAATATTATTTAATTTTATTATTTGAATAGGCCAACTTATATTTGAGAAGCTCAATTTGAGACCACTTAAAACATTGAAATATCATAAATATTGAAATATTAAAAAGTGTATTTCAAAATATTGAAATTATAAAAATTTATAATACTGAAATTGAGACAAATTAATAAATTCAATGCGTTTTTTTGAAATAACTCTCAAATATTATTTTTTTGTTTATTTAATGATGAATAAATATGATTGCTTTAGTCAATCATAAAAAACTAATTTAAGTTTAAAATAATGAAAGGATAATTTGATCGTTTTTTAAAATACAATTATTTTTGATGATTTGCAAGAATCTTTGAAAAGAATATAATATGGGTTCTATTTTTGTAAAATTTATCCAAATCATGTATTACATAAATTACGATTAAAACGATGAAAGAACCAAAAAGTGTGTTTTGTG